CCGAGGTCTTGACATGGAGTCAGGCAATGGGGCACACCACCTCTGAACATCTCTTGCCTTTAAACCCCCCCCATGGGGTCCCCATAAGTCAGCTGTGACTTGACAGCACTTTCCATCCCCACCAGTGTGGTGTAATGGTTAGAGAGAGACAGAGCAGGACCAGGGAAGGGCAGGTCTGGATCCCACTTTACCACAGAAGCTCACTTGAGCCAGTCAGTCACATGCATTCAGCCTAACCCGCCTTGCAGCACCGTTGAGGATAAAGTGAAGGAGAGGAGAACAACGTAAGCCGCTTTGGGACCCCCTATTGGGGAGAAAGGTGGGATATCAAGGAAATGAGTCAGTTTTTCCATGCTCCCTCTTGTGTCCCGTATCTTTACAGTGGTCAATATATATCCGCGCTGCCGTCCGGAAAGAAAAAGGCCTGCCGATCCTGGTGGAGCTGCTTCGAATAGACAATGACCGAGTCGTATGTGCGGTTGCAACAGCTTTACGGAATATGGCCTTAGATGTCCGAAATAAAGAGCTAATAGGTAAGTTCCAAACAAGATTATATATATCTAATCTCTTTCCCCCAAGCATGGTTCCATCAGACTTTCTAAATGCTCAATATTTAGATGCAGTTCTGCGAGCCTTTAAATATCTTCCAGCATTGGAACATTCCAGAAAATATTTGTCTCCATTTTTAGAAGTGACATGGGGGGGACCTGAGGCTATTTTGCCTCTATCAGCTAACAACTGTTGTTGCCTTGATTTCAGTTCTTTTCCACCCATATCTTTAGATAGTGAATCCTCTTGGGAAGAATGTGAATGCAGTTATGTTATGTTCAAACTAAACACTGATGGTTTGGACCCAGAGTAAACAAAAATTATGTTGATTGTCCCAGCAAGACACCAAGGTTGCCAGCCTCCACGCAGGGCCCAGAGATCTCCAGAATTACAACTGATCTTCAGACTACAGAGATCAGTTCCTCTGGAGAAAATGACTGCTTTGGAGGCTAGATTCTGTGGCATTATACTCTGCTGAGGTCCCTGCCCTCCGCAGACCCTGCCCTCCCCAGGCTCCGCCCCCAAATCTCCAGGAATTCCCCAGCCTGGGACTGTCAATCCCAGTTGGACCTCCTCTACCCTGCACACCACATGTATCACAGATAACCAAGAAGTGAATACTTTGGATAGATCCTTGTTGTGTGGTAGTGACTGTTGCATGATTTTGCTCAGCATGGTAATTAAGTTGTTATATATAAGAGACAAATTTAACCAGCCTCCCCTTGAGTAGTTATGGGTGACTTCAACTTCCCTGATGTGTGCTGGGAGACAAACTCTACAAAGCATCCACAGTCACGCAACTTCCTGACCTGTCTGGATGACAACTTCCTTCATCAGATGGTGGAGGAAGCTACGAGGGGCTCAGCCATACTCAACTTAATATTGACCAACAGGCAAGAGATGGTAGATGGGATGAAGGTGGTGGGGACCATAGGGGGAAGTGACCATGTCCTGCTAGAATCCCTTTTGCTGTGGGGGGACCAAGGAAGTTTGTAACCACACATGTAAGTTAGATTTCAGTAAGGCAGACTTTAATAAACTCAGAGGTATGATGAGAATCATTCCATGGGCAAGACTGCTGGAAGAAAAAGGAGCAAGTGAAGGGTGGGCCGCTCTCCTAGAACAAGAGCTCTTGCAAGCTCAAGCCATCACTATTCCAACATGAAGGAAACATGATAGGGGATCAAAGAAGCCAATGTGGATGAACAGAGGACTGTGTCATGTGCTAAGGGATAAAAAGGAAAGATTCAAGAAATGGAGGCAAGGACACACCTCTAAAGAAGAGTATCTGCGGGTTGCTAGGCACCGTATGTCAGCCATCAGAGAGGCCAAAGCTCACAGTGAGCTAAAGCTGGCCAGGGAGGCTTGCTACAACAAGAAACTCTTCTTCAGATATGTGAGGAGCAAACGCAAGATAAAATAGGTGATGGGCCCAGTGTTGTGTGAAAATGGAGAAACTCTGACAGAGGACAGAGAGAAAGCAGAAAGGCTCAATGCTTAGTTTGCCTCCGTTTTTTACATGAAGAAAACAGGCTCATCCAGAAATGGAAGTAGGCAAGTCACAGCATCTGGGCTGCTGGTTGACATGGACAGAGAGGTAGCTGAGAAGCACTTGGCTGCAGTGAATGAGTACAAATCGCCTAGAACAGATGGTATGCACCCCAAAGTGCTCAAAGAACTTTCTAGAGAGCTTGCAGAGCCATTGTCTATGCATGTCTCCCAGACCTCTTGGAGGATGGGAGACATGCCACAAGACTGGAGGAGTTATCCCAATTTTCAAAAAAGGGAGGAGGGATGACTCAGGAAGCTACAGGCCAGTCAGTCTGACCTCTGCCCCAACGAAGATACTGGAGCAGATTTTAAAGGGATCAACCTGCGAGCATCTAAAGGACAACTTGGTGACCAGGGGAAGTCAGCACAGAATGAGGTGTGGTGTCGGGTGGCCCCCTCATCATTAAAATCTACATTTTCCTCTGTATTTTGGAATGGGAAAATCTGAGTAAGTGAAAACCAAACCCTTCGTGATGAAAAACCCATCAGTAAAATCTTATTTCGACTCTTAAGTATCCAAAAACTGCACAGATGGAAGACAGCACAGCACCCTCTGAAATGGCCACCAGGTCGGAGGATCTGAAAAGGGTAACCGACTCGCAACTTAAAGCAGACTTATCGGAATCCATACACTCTATTAAAACTGAAGTATTAGATCATACTGATGATAGATTACAGTCGTTGGGAGAACAACTCGAAATTATACAACAATCACTTCAAAAAGTGTCCCAGAGTGCAGATTCGGCTTTTGAAATGTCTCTCACCACACAAGACAACATCAGACAATTACAAAGGAAAGATGAGTGGGCCACTGAAAAAATAATAAAGCTGGAAATGAAACTGAAACAAAACACACTGAAGTTCCGGGGAATGGAGGAAAGAAAGGAAGAGAACTCTCCTAGAGAAGCCCTGAAGACAAAATAGTGCCACTTGTCTTGCAAGCCTACAGAATTGATGTGAAGGCTTCTGTAAGGGTCCATGAGACATAATCACAGACTTTTATGACCAACGAACATTCCATAGGATCCTTAGTGAATCTTGGCATAATAGTGCATTGAAATATCAAGACAAATGGATTCAATCCACAACCTTCTAAAGCCAGTCACTTCCAAGCTGTGGGAAGCCTCCATTTGCTCATCTCAGGAGGTATCCAAGTTACCCATCAGGGTGAACACCTCATAGCCCATGACCTGGACAGTGGCCACGCTCTACTGAATAAATTGTCATTCCCCATGGAAGTCTCATATGATTTCAGAACCAAGAGGTCTAACAAACAGAACCTTGATTATCCAACCTCCCCCTTGAAGTGGCACAAAATACTCCCCCAGCAAAATTCTCAGAACTGGTATCTTCACTTTCTTACATTTAAAGAACTCTTTGTTATGCTTGTTACGTAATTCACTTAATACTATATTTGAGGAAAACATTGTTGCTGTTAACAATTATTACAATTATTAGCTTGCTCATGTTTATTTAGGGGAAGGGGGGGATTTCTTAGTTTCTACAGCTCCAGTGGTTTTTTTGTTATGACACAGTTGGATTCATTTTCTACAGACTTACTTCTCATCACAATTTCAGGTCCACACTCGTATTGACTTCATCCTCCTTTCATCGTCCTCACAAGACCAAATTGTTGATGTCACAATTTGTCCCAAACTATATTCAGACCATGATTGGGTGAGGGGACTGATCAAATGGATAACACCCGACAACAAACCAAAAACTTGGGGACTAAATTTATTTCTTATCAGGTGAAATTAAAGTTAACATCAACACTTTAAAATTATTTTGAAAACAACATGGATTGTGGGACTTCAACTGCAGTAATATGAGACTTTGTCTACCTTGCTTAAATTATTCACCCCTATGGAGCTGGTCTTGTCAATCTACTGTTGATTGTCAGACTGAGTACTGGAGGTCGTGCAGGAACACAAACGATGCTGCAACCAAGAACGACAGACTCCAACGGCTGTGGGACTTGGTGTGGCAGAGATTTGGTTTGACAGAGACAATTTAAAGACCCATATAGAATTTGCTAAATAACTAGGCTTTAGGCCTGTTTTATATCTTGCCCTTTGCAGTTAATGATTAGTTCGATTAGTTTGATTAATCGATGATTGGTTATGTTTAAATTGATTAAATTGATTTTATATTGTATTAATTAATCAATTATTGGGGTGGGGGTGGTTGAGAGAGGTTAATTTGACTGACTGATTTATATAATTTTCCCCAACCTAATTCCCCCACTGATTAACTGATTATTGATTTTCTTTAATCAAATTGGTTTATTATGTTGGAGTTGATTAGGCTGGTTGTAGTTGTTTAATTAGTCAACCCAATTGGTTTAGCTGCAACAGGGTGGGTAAATTAGGTAGCAGTTTAATTAGCTGGAGAGGGCAATATGGAGTACTTACTTTAGACAAAGGGTCAGTGATGAGCCAGATAGATCTTGTAGTTATAGCCTTTGTTGATTGTTGGAGAGTGTTGGGGTTGACAGCACCGATGAAGGGGGGCCATGCAAGGGTCAGGGATACCAGTGATTACGAGGCGGGGGAGATATAGCAGTGGGTGTAGGTGCTCTTCCTTTAATTGGAATGGAAGAAATCAGAGATATGGAAATGCTCGGACTTCTTCCCATCTATGTCCCATCTCAAGGGATGTTGGTTGTGGGGCTAGGAAAACTTACCCTTCTCCGTCACTGGTGTTATTCAATGCCAGGTCTATCAATAATAAGACCGATGTGCTCCGTGATTATCTCATGGAGTCTACTTGGGGTAGAGGGTTTGGTTGAGGGACCTCTGGAAGTTTTTGGACAATGTGTACATTCAAGTCCTCTGGTAGAAACTCTACTACTGTCTCTTCAAAGAGGCCTTCAGTCCCAAGTAGCTCATTGCAGCTCTGTAATGCAGCGACTTCTCCACACATCCTTGGAAGAACTTGGGTACTGGGGTTAGATATCCTCAAATGCATAGATGCCTCCGGTGGATGAACTGTGTGTAGAGGGTTTCCATGGGTCCTAATATTGCTGGATAGTTGAGGCTCCAGGTCTTTAATCCCATGCAGATGTATGCTGAGCTTCGCATGAAAGACTTCCAAAGGAGTTAAATATGTCATCTTCTAGAGAATTTTCCAAAGGCCTAGAAGCCGAAGAGCTATAAGGGACTGGAGGGATTGGGGAATCTGAGAGGCTATCCATAGCAATCTGGGATTCAGAAATATTTTGAGAATTTATTGTTGGAGCGCACATTTTCTCCCAAGAAATTCATTTTCGTTGAGAAGTCTCGGTATCCATAAGTGTCTCTGCCTGAGAGGTAGACATCATCACTGGGTCAGACTGGTTCTTGTGGCATAAAGGTATAACGATGGTGTTGTGGAACACGCGAGAGGGGGAAATTCCCTTCTTAAACAGATCCAGTTTCCTTTTGAAGATCAG